ATTGGATCCGAAGAGGCTACAGTACGGATCGTCGCACCCCGTGAAAGGTAAGCGTGCTCATGGTCTTCTTCGTCGGTTAGGTCGTAAGTAGAAGATTTCATTGCCGAGCAAAGATAAGAATTCATTGCAGCACTAAGTGAAGTCGAAGGACTTTGGGGGGGAGGGTATTCAATCGGAGATATGGGCTCTGTAGCATGTAAGGGAGGTGGTAAGACAGCTGTAGGTTGCGACATCGCATCGCTCACAGACTTCTTCCGGCGCCTGAAAAACGACGGTTTCTTATTGATCGTTGACTGCGGGGGATCGGAGTTCTGTGGTGGCAGTGCGACTTCTTGGGTTTGTTTGCTACTTGCAATGCTACTTCCACCACTTGCATTTGCACTGCTCCCACCACCCACACCAAACACCCGTCGAAAGAAACCAGGTTTTTGTGGGGTCTTATCTTTTGTATTCATCGTTGCGGGGTTCACAAATGCTGGCAACGGTGGTAGTGATATAGGATCTTCAAAGTGTGGGTTAAATTGCTGGTCTCTCCTTAAGCTCCTGTTAGACTTGTTTGACAGTCGTCGTACAAGACGCGGAGACCGTGGTGGAGAGGGCGTTCGGTTTCTTGGTCCGCTCCTTATGGATGGAGGCGGCGCTGCGTCAAAGGGGTCATACACATTCGCAAACCCATGTGAAGAACCAAGACCGCGACCGCGAGAACGCGTTTCCCTCCCAGCATCGAAGTTGTTGGCGCTGCCGAAACTTTCGGTTCCGTTGTCAAAGGAGCCAACACGTCTATTCCCGTAATTTGTCGAACCGCCCACGGGACCACCTGCAAAACTCCCAATATGTGAATGATAGTTGCTGGTACTGTTAGATCGTCTGCCGCGCGGTATTGGGGTGGTTCTCTGCGAGTAGTTGGAAGCAGCATCGTCATCTTCCATTTCGTCCACGGAGGTGAAATACGGTGAAGTATCAAAGGCCCCTAAAGACCCGTCACCGATCTTATCAAAGGACAGTAGGAGGTTATCCACCAGTGACTCTCTTCCGTTTCCCAGGTTTAGTTGGAGGTCGTGGGAGTCTCTCTTGGGTTCGGGGGACGAGCCACCTATAGCAGTGGACACGGTTCCCTTGCTGGACTTCCTGAAGCCATAGACCCCCATTGAAGAAGAATCGCCCGAGTAGGACGTGGAGTGAGTCGAGGGGGGCGTTCTGGTAGTAGGTCTGAACCTCTGGCTACTCTCCGCGTAGAGCTTATGGGCGGCAGAACTTGGCTCGGGGGGGATCATTATTGTTTCTGCAATAGGCGGGTCTTGGGGCAGCTAGTAGCTCTGCAGTGTCAGTTTCTGCTATGCTAAAACTGTTTGGACCGGATGTCTCTGGCTGTTTAGCGTGTAAGTTGTATGCCATAAACGAATTGTAATGAACGATTACTGCCCAATTGACCTCACCGGAACCAAAGGGGGGTGTGAGTAGTGGGGGGAACACGCGCTGGGTGGAAGTGAGCCAGCCGGGAGTAGTGGGGATCTTTTTTTTCTTTTCCAAAGGATCTGTCTCTACATACAGCTTTAAAAAAAAGTTGCTCACAGAGGGTTCCTGAGAATGCTTTTTGGGGTAACGAATTAGGAACGAGATACCGAGTAATTTCTTTTTCCCTCTTCCAACCCAGGAAGTTTTCGGGCGCTCGACTTGTGTTTCGGACAGTGTAAGTTGCTTGTGTGGAGAGATCTCTTATATCCGGGATATGAAGTGAGGCTGTGATTTCAGATCTGCCCTTTAGTCTTCTTCCTCTTTCTCTTCGATTTCTGTGAGAAAAAGCATCAACACATGGCGATTTTTCTTTTGTGCAACACTCTCACAAGGATTTCCCGTATATTATTTAATCCCACTCTCCTATAACAGTTCGTCGGATGCCCAACTCCGTATGGGATATACCCAGGATCACGGGATAAGGGGTGAGCCGGGGCGAAACAATAAGACAGACGAGCGGGGGTAAAGCCACGAGGCACTTGTTTCGTGGTCCCACGAACCGTTAACGGAGGAGACCAAAATGAGATTGATTATGGTGTCTTGATAGTGGTGTGAGCGGAGAGATATGTAGGTATGGCAAGAGGGGTAGCTAGAGAAAGAGAAACAGAGGTAGGCAAAGACAAATTGACTGACAGAGGGTGTAAGAGAGGATTAGTAGAATGAAGAGGCAGAAGAATATCAGACAAGTCTGTGAACCGACCTCTTCTTCTATTCAATGAAATTGAGGGGGTGTAATCTGATGTTTTAGGGAGGGGCTCTCTGATCCCTTGTTACGGTCTCACGGAGGTTTTCCCAGTGGGACTATCGTTTACTAGCTGCTTCAGAGTAACCCCCAAAAATCTTCACGATACAATCGACACATTCATATGTATATATGCACCTACTCAAAACCAATTAATCACATCATATTGCATGCTCTGTCTATCCTTCTTAACCGAGTGGGCGCAAAAAAACCCTGGTTACTGGGTACTCTAGATCTAACCAAGTGCCACTACTGTTCTGACACTGTTGACAATGACACAATGAGCTTTACTGCAGTTGCCGTTTTAATCTCCTCAATATATCAAGAGCTATTGATATTATATCGATACAACTCCCGACTCGTCATGAGTTACCCAACCAATTCCAAAAGGACTAAACCTTTCTGTGGTACACATCTCAATATTGCCTAGATCAAACCCGCCTGTAGATATGTCGTGTGTAAACCCACGTGCTAAAGCTATCGCTTTAACCATTTCCAGCTATTCCTCTAATACTCCAACGTTCCTAACCATCACGTCGATTGGCCCCGCAGGACGCGAAGAATATGTTCCCCCATATTATTAAACCTCATGCAAGGGAGAGATCGCGGCAGGAAACTTGTTTAGGGGTTTCATGCACCGTGCTTGGAGAAAGAAGGAGGGTGAGGGGATCTGGCTGCTTGTAGTCAGGGGTAAAATCAGATGCGGCATATATTTGAGACTAGGGGCCGTGGCATGAGGTATCACTCGACAGTCTGGCACCTTGGCAAACCTAACCCTGGATAACTCCTCTTCTATCATTCACAGCGCCTTGTACTACCTTGCCAGGTACAGGTATGTACATATGTACAGCGACCGGAATGATCTATGGAAAAACGGGGGGGGTGAAATTGTATGGCGAAATATCTGTGCACCATATAACTGTTTTTTTTCATAGATCATTCCTATCGCTGTATGTAGGTACAGCCACTCTGCAAAAGTGTTCGTGATTCCGATTTCGAAGTGAGACATTTCTCCATAGGTAACCGTAGCGGAGCATCAAAAAAACTCCAAGAAAAGACTTTCCCAGTGATCAACGGCGCCCGGAATCAATGAAGAATAAGATCAATGACCTATCTTCTTTTATATAGTCACCAACCATATTATATATTTTTCCTTATTTTGAATCTCAACATTAATAGCATCAAGAATACGGGTGCGTCACACTGCGCACTGACATTAAAACTAAATCACGAACACTTTTGCTGAGTGGCTGTACGTACATGTATGTATGCATTTTCAGCGAAACCAAATCCGTTTCGTATGGCTCGATTGCGCAGCTCTAATGGTAATATCGCCACTACATGTGAGTCCTAAACCTGGCTCCAGCTCTGCCTCCACCTATGTATGCACCTACATCTATCTATTCAGAGACATCTATCTGTTCAGAGACATCTGCCTAAGATGCCTACTTCATTAGCAATTCGAACTGTGGGGAGCGAATGAATCAAACCACTGCTAGCTGGTGGCAACAATAAATGCTTCGCAGGGATTTTTAAGCTTATATTTTTTGCTTAATCTGAGATAGGCCATCTGATCAGCTCTGAAATTTAGTTGGTACATGTAGTGTAGTTATGATCATGCTTGATTCCCAATACAATCTCCCACAAACACTCGATGATATCAGCTCAACCGGCTATGTCTTACCTGTAACTCAGTGGCGACCCGACGAAACAACCGGCGGCGAAACAAAGGACAAAATGGCCTATTGGAACGGCCTCGCAGTTACGAGATATTGGTTTATGTAAATGAGTACAATACTGGCTGCAGCACTCAGCCTCAAACCTGTGAAACAATGGTTTAGAAGAAAGCCAGAACCAATAGGCTCAGCCACTCATCCCATATATTCAACACCGAGAACGTGGTATAGATGATCCGAGCAGTATTGTGGGAAAATCGATTTTGAATTCCGGGTACGGGGATATCGGTGAGAGTTTTATCACCGCCGGGTGGGTGTGGCTGCAGTGTGGCTACGACAGTGGAGAGGAACTCTTGTATCTTATAGACCAGCTTGCCCATCAGCGAGCGCGGCCCATCACCGAGCGTTGCCCGCTATTTTGCCCGCTGCAACGGTTGCTACTCACCAAATTTTGGCTGGATGCTCGCTGAGGGGGCCGCGCTCGCTGATGGGCAAGCTGGTCTATATGGTGGGGGAAACCTTGACGACATTGATTTTGCTTACTAACACATACAAATTACGTGCCAAGAATGGGAAAAGTACTTTTTTTGACCATACAAGCGACATTATCCCTGCCAAAATATTTTTATAACTCAACAACGAAGAATTATTTTAAAAATCGGAGTAGACAGGATGATAGAGCAGGTGAAACTGAGTAGATATATCTAATAAAATTAAAAATATATGTGGTGGTTGATGAGCTATAAGTGGTCAAAGTTGAAGTGTCCAAACTACTCCGTGACAAGGCTTCTGGAATCCGGCGTTGCACCGGGAAGACAGCCGGAACGCCAGGCTTTTGACACCCCGGCGCTAGCCTCAACCGGTAGCAAGGCGATGTCAACACCACACAAAGAAGTAGGTAGCAATCCTGATCTTTGAAAAGCCGTCAACTTCTCTGTTACCACCCGCTTAAAGCCACGTGCTACAAACACCTTCCCAAATATCGCACATTGCAACATCTATCGCGTCGGCAACGTCTGTAATACGATCATCGCTAATCTCCTCTACGAGCCATCATCAGACCCTTCATGAACCATTTCCGCGCCTCACCTCCGCCTTCACGCTCATTCACTCCTCATATTGGTATGCCTAGACATGGACGTCAAGACTCTCGGTCGTCGCTGCGGCTACCGCCGTTCTTCAAGCGGCTCTTCAAGTTCCCGCAAATGGACTTTGAGGTTAGGCTTCCCAGACGACGGACTGAGCTACAACTCCGAGGTTTACTGACTTGCAAGGTATTAGATGGCCACATGGGAAATGACAAACCTTATAATTGCGCCAAAAAAGGTCTTCAAATCTATATATCACCATGTACGTTTCTTTCATTTTTCTCAAGGTGTATATAACGAAATAAGCTGATTGCCCCGTTGTGCAGAAACGTATACCTAACTATACCCACAGCCCCTAGACAATAAACTAACTATGAATAGAAACCAAAAACTCTTGGTCGCGTGATGATCCTTCTTTCATTGTCCTCCTGACCTTCTTCCTAACACTCTCCTCCTTCGCGTGGGGTCTCGCATATACACCGGCTTTTACGTCAATACTGCGTTTATCATTCTCGATGGTCTTTATGCAGTTTCTTGTCACATCTTTGCTGTTTGCGACAGCGGGATATTTTCTTGCCGGAAGGTTTTTGAAGGTCCAGGGTGCTGGAGGGCTCGGGAGGGGAGGCATTGTTGGTGGGGAGGGTGAAATCGAATTTATGTATTGCTTTGAGATCGGCGTGAGGGCATTCTTCCCAGTCTGGGTGTTTTTGTAAGTAGCCTTAGATTCGTTAGGGTATAAGGGTCGTTGTGTTTCGGAATAGAGGTGCTGACTGAGGTATAGATATGTGATCCAGTTCTTGATGATGCCGATACTGACAAGAGACTATTGGTACGATGCACTGCCCTTATCTCTAGGGAAGCCATACTAACCCAACAATATAGGATTTCAACATTCCTTGGGAATTCTCTATATCTGATAGCATTCTCCTACTATTGTGTTATCACATTCATGGGTTATAATGGTACCTCTCACACCACAAATTTTTTTCTTCATAAGCTAACGGTTTAACTTCATCAGCACTTCCCTTTCTCCATCACACAGAGATAATGTTAGGCCCAATTTTCATATTTGTGGTCCTATGGGCCGTTAGCTTATTTGGCTTCAACCTGCCGAAACACATCATTCCTGTGCTTCTCGGGGTATGATTCGGACGTCTTGTGGGCGAGAGGGTGTTACTGTAGAACTGGACTTTAGAGCGTTATTGGGATTAGAATGTTTTAATGGGGATTATGTAATGTATATATTGATCGTGGAACGCTATAATGAAGCGTAGCTTGGAGTTTAATATTATGTTTTACGAGGCTCCGAATCTAAAGGAGCAGATACCATAATGTCACTGATCGGTGGGTACATACAAGGATGCCGGCAGAATACCACTCTTTTTTTTCCAAGGTTAGCTCTTGACAACGTCATTACAGCTTTAGGCGAGTATAAATCTAAACAGAAGCTGAAAATATGGAACCATTCTGAGCGGTGCTATTTTTTGTTACGGTAGATACTTGTACTTACTGTAAATACTACATGTATAAAGTGTACTACAAACTTAAGGTCATACATACTATACGTAACCAGTATATGGCTACATGTACTCTCTAGATCTACATGTATGTATACACATGCAGGGTAGATCTATAGATCATGACGGCTGAGCTAGGGTCGAATCTCGATCTCTTAATTAAGGAAACCCGAATAGGCTGAGGCCAAACACCTCCCGAGATATTGCTGTCTAACCCCGTCGGATTAATTATATATAATTATGGAAGGTATCGCGGGCAGCTACAATTACTTTATAATTTACAGATATCAAGAAGTCGATTAATTAGATCACTATCACGTGTCTCGAATTGATTGAACGCCGCGGGTGTGTTGGCTTTTACTTCGGTACGGTTACAGATATAGCTTGCACGAAGATTTATAGCCTATGTACTACTTTTTATGAGTCCCGAGTGATAATTTATGACCGAGATATTTTTGCATCAACTAAAGTACATAGTACATACATGTATGTCAATGCAATCAAAGCCATACATATGTACCTATATACATACATACAAGTGGTTTCTGGCCTTTGGCCGGTACTACACGTATATAAATCAGTCCAATATACGTATAGCTAAGTTCTCTATTTGCCTGTCAGTCAGGGCTCTCAGGCCGCTGCGCGGCCCTCAACCCCTCCTGGTAGGTAAAGTTTATTTGTATATCTGCTGATATCCCCATATATCAGTGGATATATCAGACAATTTCACCAGTTCAAGCTGCAGGGATATCCCTTTAACAGCTACTAATCGATTCCCAGAACTGGTAGAGAACCTATCAATAACCTAACACCGCTCAGCACAACACCCTATACTCATATCCAACAATAACATTTTTCAAGTGAAACAAAACCTCCAACATAACCTTTCTTTTTAGCTGACACCCTAATCAATAGCTCGAGAAAAAGAAAACATCCAAAACACAGCCATTCAAAAACTTTTGATATACACATTGCATACTCGGTATAGCTATATACTAATTAGATGTCTCAAACAATTCTTACTCATATGTCAGCTCAAGCAGCTCCTGAAGACATACATATATGCAAAGCCTGGGCTGGCTCTACTAGGTGATAAAAATTCTAGTATGTACTTGTATGTATACGTATATGGGGCGGTAAATGTGTCAAAAGTAATTTTACCAACGGTAGTAAATTATTTTACCACCGGTGGTGAAAATAATACCAGTATTTATACCCTATAATGCTAATTTTTATGATAAAAGCACAGACCTTTTGGCCAAAAGGGGCCATATAATGCCAATATATATGAAAATTGTCCACCGATGGGGAATCTCACCATCGGTGGCGGTATTTCACCACTGGTGGGAAATTTTCATAAGTTTTGGCATTAATGATTGAACATTTACTTATTTAGTATAGCGCAGCATAAAGACCGAAACTCAGTGTTTATACCGGTGGAAATGTACTAATGTAGGATAGCGTGCAGATACAATGACTGAAATTCAGTGCTTATACCACCGGTGGTAAATAATTTACTACCGTTGGTAAAATTACTTTTGACACATTTACCGCTCCATATACGTAGGTATAATTATAAATATAAGCTATGTATATGCATATGCGCGTGCTACATGCGATCTTTTAGTGATTTGAGTGGTTGATTCCGAGGTTCAAAAGCTATGTAGCTATGTAGCCTTAACAATATATAAACAAAATATTATGGATATGTAGACCAACTTGGTACATGTAGTTCCCTGTGTGTATGTGGTACTGCGCTGGTGATGCTTAGATTGTGTTTTGATTTGCCTGGCTGTATAAGAGAATGAATTAGTATATAATGCGAGAGTGGTCTAGATCTTTGCCATGAGGAGGGGTCGAAGGCCGTGCAGCCTTTCGGCGTGTATGGCGTGATACGTAACTGATTTAAGCATACATGTACTCGCTGTGAGAGCAAGTTTCCGCGTGAAAATTCGGTTGCAAAACAAAGGTGGTAGCGGAAACTTATTCTCGCAGAAAGTACATGTAGGTACATGTAGTCGCATAGAGTCCGGCCGCCGAAGGCCGCGGTCCACTTGTACATGCTTTATACTTACTGTATGATTGGATAAGACATGTAGATTCACGAACTCGGGTATCGGGTCCAGATCTAGATACATGCTAACACATGTCATTTGGAATACAGGTCGACTCAAACTTATAACTACATGTACATACTTGCAAGTTTACATGTATCGAAAATTTAGAGGTTGCCGGATCAGGGCTCCAAACTGTGATGATGTGACATCGACCTTAAGTCATGAGTGAAGAATTGATGGAAATTTCTGTGAAACTCCCCCCAGACCTGAAATTCGAAAGTTGGATTAAACCGAAGGGCTTTTTTTACATACAACCAGCCCTTATCGGCCATTGCAAGGATAGACTAAACTTTTGCTCTTATTAATCTTTGGTACTAGCCCAGCCCGTAATAAAACTCATCATCTCGGATCTAAGGTTTAAGTTTGATTATAAGTTTAGATTTAGAGTAGTATGGTGCTTATATGTATGTATATATGTATCAAATCATATTTAATCTCTTCCTGTTTCCTGCTAGGCATCACCAGCTTGCACTACTTTGATCAAGATCGATCATTAAGTGTGTGTATGTACTAATGTAGGTTCTAGAGTATGAGTTCGATTTAAGGCGGTTTCAAGGAACTACGTGTACGTATATGTGCGTATGCGTATTGAAATCATAGTTTATCGATGAGTTTTTCCAATCACGATTCGAAACCCACAGCACACACGTACTACACTATAATAATAATAATAATACAGGACAGTATCTGGCAGGAGGGAACTGTTTGTATGTAGATCCCTTCGTCTGTATTTACATACACAATGTTTTAGGAATCTCACGCTTGAGATTCCTCAAAAGTTGCAAAAGGTTCTCCCGAGTGATTTCTTATGATACCCCCTCCTGCACCCCCACTCAGCATCGCAGTTTCCCCTGCACCTGCTGCAGGTACTAGAACTCGGTAGTTAGAAGCACCATATATGTGGTCTGTATCTGACCCAAATATCGAGAGATACACTGCATACCCCAAATTAGGGTTAGGGCACATACTGAATACTGATTCACCCGACTCTGTGGAAATCTTTAAAAGGGGATGAGTCCGTCTGGAGAGGGGCTTTTCGTGCCAAGAACCAGGGATCTCTCCTTATTGAGGCGCTTTGGCCGTGGGCGGCGACGAGTATGCTAAACAGACCACACACGCCCTCGTTCGTCCGTCGGCAACCAACTCATCTCTTCTTGTCGCTCGTCTTACTTCTCTCCCTTCTTTTCCCCATCCTTCCCCGCTCTCTGTCTCTATCTCCTGATCTTCTTCTTTGATCGTTCTATCTAACCCACCCTCGCTATTCATCATGTCAACTATTGGAGGAGGAGGAGGGGGAGGTGCCTTTAGAAGCAACCAACGGCCTGGTAATCAAGGGCGCTCTGGAACCCCCAGCTTCCCCTCCAACCCCTCCACTACCCCTGCACCCGCCAGTCCTGCCGCCGCTGCTCCCCAATCTGAACTTTCAGGAATGACTGATAGTAGGAAAAGGCAGAGTAAAAGAGACGAGGTTTGTTCTTCAGCCCTTTTATTACTTAATCCTCCCACCCAGCAGCCGAGAGAAGAGGCATTTCTTTAGCTCATCCGGCCACCCAAGTATTAACATGTTCTATCTCTCGATCGAATAGGCAATACGCCGTAAGATCGAAAATGACCTCAACAAAAAGAAACACACTGGCGCTCCCAGGTCTCGCCAAACCCGAAAGATTGCTCCGGGCACAGTCATGGCCCTACGCCCCTCCCAGGCGCTGCAAATCAAGCCGAACACTACCGTAGCAGAGGCTGCTCAGATCATGGCCGCAAAACGTGAAGATTGCGTGCTTGTCACCGATGAAGAAGATAGAATTGCCGGTATCTTTACAGCAAAGGATCTTGCATTCCGTGTTGTCGGGCAAGGAATCGACGCCCGAGACGTTACTATTGCTTCCATTATGACCAAGAATCCACTTTGTGCGCGGACCGATACATCTGCGACGGATGCTCTAGACCTTATGGTTAGGAAAGGATTCCGGCATTTGCCAGTTATGGATGAAAATGCGGATATCTCCGGTATCCTGGATATCACAAAGTGCTTTTACGAAGCAATGGAAAAACTCGAACGTGCTTATGCTTCTTCAAGGAAGCTCTACGATGCTCTCGAAGGTGTCCAGTCCGAGTTGGGATCATCTCAACCCCAGCAAATCATTCACTATGTTGAGGCCTTGAGGCAGAAGATGTCCGGCCCAAATTTGGAATCTGTATTGGATGGAAACCCGCCGACAGTTGTCAACGTCCGGACTACAGTCAGAGAAGCTGCTGCTTTAATGAGAGAACATCATACAACTGCGGTTTTGGTACAAGATAATGGAAACATCACGGGTATTTTTAC